CATTCAGTGGTCACTCCGGCCATTCAGTGGCCACTCCGGCCATTCAGTGGCCACTCCGGTCATTCAGTGGTCACTCCGGCCATTCAGTGGTCACTCCGGCCATTCAGTGGCCACTCCGGCCATTCAGTGGCCACTCCATCCATTCAGTGGCCACTCCGGCCATTCAGTGGTCACTCCGGCCATTCAGTGGCCACTCCGGCCATTCAGTGGTCACTCCGTCCATTCAGTGGTCACTGTGGCCATTCAGTGGCCACTCCGGCCATTCAGTGGCCACTCTGGTCATTCAGTGGCCACTCTGGTCATTCAGTGGCCACTCCGGTCATTCAGTGGCCACTCCGGCCATTCAGTGGTCACTCCGTCCATTCAGTGGTCACTGTGGCCATTCAGTGGCCACTCCGGCCATTCAGTGGTCACTCCGGCCATTCAGTGGCCACTCCGGCCATTCAGTGGTCACTGTGGCCATTCAGTGGCCACTCTGGTCATTCAGTGGCCACTCTGTCCATTCAGTAGCCACTCTGTCCATTCAGTAGCCACTCTGTCCATTCAGTGGCCACTCCGGCCATTCAGTGGCCACTCTGGTCATTCAGTGGCCACTCCGGCCATTCAGTGGCCACTCCGGCCATTCAGTGGCCACTCTGGTCATTCAGTGGTCACTCCGGCCATTCAGTGGCCACTCTGGTCATTCAGTGGCCACTCCAGCCATTCAGTGGTCACTCCGGTCATTCAGTGGCCACTCCGGTCATTCAGTGGCCACTCCGGCCATTCAGTGGCCACTCCGGCCATTCAGTGGCCACTCTGTCCATTCAGTGGTCACTCCGGCCATTCGGTGGTCACTCTGTCCATTCAGTGGTCACTGTGGCCATTCAGTGGTCACTCTGGTCTTTCAATGGTCACTCCGGCCATTCAGTGGCCACTCCGTCCATTCAGTGGTCACTCCGGTCATTCAGTGGTCACTCCGTCCATTCAGTGGCCACTCCGGTCATTCAGTGGCCACTCCGGTCATTCAGTGGCCACTCTGTCCATTCAGTGGTCACTCCGGCCATTCAGTGGTCACTCCGGTCATTCAGTGGCCACTCCGGCCATTCAGTGGCCACTCTGGTCATTCAGTGGCCACTCCGGTCATTCAGTGGCCACTCCGGCCATTCAGTGGCCACTCCGTCCATTCAGTGGCCACTCCGGTCATTCAGTGGTCACTGTGGCCATTCAGTGGCCACTCTGGCCATTCAGTGGCCACTCTGGTCATTCAGTGGTCACTCCGGTCATTCAGTGGCCACT